GCCACTGCTGCTGCTGCTGCTGTTGCTTCTCCTTTTGCCTTTTCTTGTGGCAAAAAAAAAAGAAAACAAAACAAAAGGTAACCAAAATAAACTGATTATGTGCCCCATTCGAACTCCGCGCTCTACCTCAAGATGCTGCCAAAGAAAATTAACAGCGCTCTCTGTAGTCGAGGGTCTTCAAAGGGTCTTTGGGGTTCTTCGAGGGTCTTGCCGTCGTTGAAACCTTTTGTTTGCTGCTGTCCGTTGGGTCACATCAAATTTGCTAATATTTTGACCCCAAGATATAATATCGTGCTGGTCATGATTGCACGCTGGGCTGAAACTCTTGAGAGCTGTCGAAATATCTATATTTATATAAATAATATAGGTAATACAAATATAAGTAAAAACACATTTTATATTTTAATAATGTTGTTTATTATTCGAAAAGCTGCAGACATAATTAAGATATTGCTTCGATATATTTATCGATAGATGTGTGTTATTTATAGAAGTTAATGTATCTATTTGATACCATCCAAAATCTGAATAGTTAAACATTTGTAAAATTGCCAATCGATGACAAGATATTGCAATTTTATCGGCTGTCGATAAATTTTGTGTATTTTTATCTATCAAATTCTTTCTCTGTTGAATTCAATTTTTACAACTTCCATATATGTTTGATAGCTATTGATAATTATACTAAAGAGTGATCGATATTATGCGTTAATTCAATTATTTGACAATAAAGAAATAATGTTGCACTGATTAAACGATAAGTTAAAGTGTTATCAAATACTTGCACAACATCGATATACTTTCAATAATGTTCGATATGTTTTGATATCTGAATCGTTATCGATTTCCGTAAATATTGGTAGATTTGAATAACTTTTCTTATACTAAATATCTGCCTTCGACACAAGTTGCCCATTTATCGATATTATTTGCCATTCGAACCACTGTAGCACGACTTCATTATGCTCGCGGCAGTAGCTGTGAAAAGCAAAATCTTATTTATCACTCAACCCAGACTCGGACACTCGGCCAAAGGCTAGCAAGATTTTGATGGGCCTCTAGGGCGGCCTTTGTGTAATTTACTAAACTATCTAATATAATAAGCGAGCTTTTTGTTTAAAGCAGCGCAAAGCGTTGCCCGACTGTTAGAATCAATCAAGCGCTCAACTAAACTGGCTCCAAATGCCTGAGCCCCGGCCCAATTTCCAACACCTTTCGGCTAGTGCGCGTGCCCAAGCGATTGCCATTTGTTGCAGTTGTTGCTGCTGCTGCTGCTGCCACATAGTTTGCCATTGTTGCCGGCAACATGACCATCAAGCTGGCTACCGTCCCCGCGCAGTTTGGCGGATGCACTGGCCCAGCCCTTGGATTGGCTTTGGCTTGGGCTGGGAGGGGGATGGAGCCCACCTAGTATTGCCTGAATGCGTAACAAGATCAAACCGCAGCCACCGCACAGCAGAGGATGTTTGGCATTAAGCGTAATTGCTGGTTGCTCCGGTCACTCGCCAGTCAGCCAGACAGACAGACAGCCAGACAGCAGCAGCAGCAGAGAAACGAAATACAAAATCATTAAATACTCGTACTTGGTAGCTACCAAAATCAAAGCCAAAGTCACAAGTGGAGTGTAGCCAAACAAGTCAACTTTTTAGGTGGGCAGATCGGACCAACAACCAACTGGGCAGCAGCAACAACAACAACAACAACCAGCCAGCCAAAGGTTGTTGATGGGCCACGGCGACTGTTGCTGCTGCCGCTGCTGCTGCTGACGGCAATCAGGTCGAACTCGTAGCCGCAGTCGAGTCGCTTTTGGCCAGACATGAAGAATTACAATGAGTAGGTAGTTGGGCGCAATTGCCACAGCAGCAGCAACAACAGCAACAACAACAGCAGCAGCAACAGGCCTCAGTTGCTGTCTTGGCAGCAGGTCGGCCCACGTTCCTCGACTGTGGACTGCTCCCGGGCATAGGTAGCACAAAAAGCTGTTCAATTTAGAATTCAAATTGTTGTCTTCGCTTGTGCCCCTTGCTGCTGCTGCTGCTGCTGCTGCTGTTGTTGTTGCTGCTGCTGCTGCTGTTGGTGGTACATTTAAAGTTGTTGCTGTTGTTGTTGGGCTCCGGCTTTAAGGTTAAGCAGGTCAAAATCCGTACAACTAAATTGAGCGCAGAAATACAATTGAGCTGCTGCAGCTTGAAATTCATTTTTGTGTGTGTTTGGCCCGCTCAAATTAAAATGTATTTCAGCAGCAGCAACACAGAGACCGAGAGAGAGAGAGAGAAAGAGAGAGAGAGAGAGAGCGTGCGAGAGAGAGACAGCAATCGATGACCAGAAGCAGCCAGAAGCACTTTTGCAGCCGCTTATTAGTGCGCCCTTGTGTTTATTTTTGTATTTTATTCTGTTTTTTATTATTGGGGTTTGCTTTGCTTATGAAAAGGGTCCGCGGCACGTTTCGCATTTGACGCTTGAACAGGATCCGAGCTCAACTTTTGACTTGCGCACGGTATGCTATTCATTTAACTTCTTTAGCTTCTCCCTTTTTTTCGGGTTATTCCTTCTTTTCATTTTTTTTGTTAATGGTTTTTCAAAACCCCCGACAAAAAAATAAATCTAAAACAAGAATTGCTTTTTACGAGCCTCAAAACCGACCAGTTCTATGTAAATATTGCGCAACAAAATGACTTTATTTGGCCGAAATTCATTTTATTGATCTATTAAAGGCGCAAAAAAAAAGAGACAACTATTAAAAGAAAAACTTGAAATGTCATAAATTCGAGACACACAACTATTTACGACCTCGCTGGCAACTGAATCCAATCAACAGTTCACAAGCTCATTTTTTTCGTTGGTCGACCATCTCTGGAACTCGAGTCGGTGTCAAAACTTGAACTATAAACTTGATTAGATTGAAAAGTTGTAGGCCGCGTGTTGATCCATCGCAGAGATGAGGCATTCACGGTTTGAGGGCTCAGGAATTAGACGGCCTACAAAGAGAGTTGTGTCATAAACCCAATCGAAACTTGAGGAATTTCCATTCATTTGTCTTTTGTTCGAAAATATCTTTCATTTATTTTTCGCGCACGCTTTGGAATGCATAATTTATGTTAAGATTCAACTAACTTTCATATGCTAAACGTCTGAAAACATTTTAATTTGTTGTAGAACACACATAAATTGCTGATAATTTTAATCTTAGGCTTTTTTAAAGTCACACCAAAAAATTAGCATTAAATGGTGCTTTCAGATTATTTACTGGATTAACTGTCAGACGAACCATTTAGTATGCAATTTATTTACGATATTTAGCGGGAAATAAAATGGTTGGAAATAATTTTATAAATAGTTTTTGATCCCTTCGTATATGCGCTGCCAGACTTGTACGTTTTTACGTTAACTGCTAATTCAATTGTTTAAACAATCTGGCAACACCAAATAAGTGTTGTTAAGTTGGCTGCGCTTAAAATATTTGGCGAATTGATGTTAAATGTGCCTAACTATTTAGATAAATTTTATATAGTAGAATCGTATTAGTAAAATTTATATTTAAATATATGAGAATCTTTTCATGTGTGCTGGAAGTAAATCGTATACCCATAAAAGTTGTGCAGACTAACAGAGATAAGGCATTCCTTAAAAATTGAACAATGTATATAGGCATTAGTAATACTCGACTCTATCTGGACATGCTTGTCTAACTTCTGTATTGCATGCTGATCAAGTTTATTTCAAGTGTAAACCAATTTTGCCGCATTTCTGATTTTTAATTTATCTCTTAAACCTACAACTAGATATTGTTTTTATTCGTAAAAAACCTTACAACTGGCCTGCTGGGTATCTGCTAGTCGAATATCTCTTAAAGTTAAGGTCCATTATTGTCTTTTCTCATTTCTAACGCTAACAACTTGGACCACAGTTGCATTTCGTTTGCCTTTTGTTTGATGCTCCAAAATGATTTGCATATTTCCATATTTTTTTTGTAAATTGCCCCCGTTACCGGAGAGTCCAATTACATTGCGTGCAGCAGCAGCAGTCGCAGTTGCAGTTGCAGCATCAGCACACATGGCCTCCAATTGGAATTGAAGTTCGAGTTGGAGTCGGAGTCGGAATTGGAGTTCAAAGTCAAGACCGAGTCGCACATTCAAATCTGTTTTCGATGGTATTGTTATGGTTAACTTTGCCGTCTAGTTAAAGCCAGCATCTGTTGCTGTTGTTGTTGTTGTTCGTATTCTTATTGTTTTTGTTGTTCTATTGTTGCGCTGGCGCAGCCTTGTCAATTATTGGTGGAACAGAATTTAGAACGCAAAATATAGTTGGTAACCACAAAGACACCAAATCAAAGCCTCCATTCAGCTAGTTTTTGTTGTGCCTGCTGTTGCTGTCTAGCGAATTATGACAGTCCGAGTCCACATCTAAGTCATACAAGAAGCCACCAATTTCCGGTATGCATTCAGTTCTTTGAGGTCTTTTTTGTCTCGTTTTTACCTAGGTATTGCGGGAAATGGTTAGGTCGATTTTTTAAAACTAATTCAATTGTAAGCGAACTATCAATAGCTTTTCGCAGTGCAGCTGAGCTTGAGTTTTATAAAAGCTTTATCAGAGTTTTTAATGCATTTTTTTATGCAAATTTCCCCTTAAAGGTCTTGTTATGTATTTATCTATTAACCAATAGCTATTAAGCGATCTGGCAACACTAAATAACTTTATTGCCTTATTAAGTTGGCTGCACGTTCAGTAAATAATGAGTTCAAGCTCAAACTTTGTTTTGTTTAATGCACTTGTGGCATTAAAAGTATGATTCTAGTTGTTGAACACAAATGTTTTGTTTCATTTTATCAATATTTCTTCTTACTTTTCTTATACCAATTTAAAACTAATTAATTACTCCAGCGATCTGGCAACACCAAGTTGCCTAACTGTTTTTGAAAGTAAGCAAAGAACGTTCTAATCGATAAATAAAGGAATGAAATATAAGTTTTAAAAAATAACTAGTTAGCACAACATTTTAAATTATTTACTAGTTTTTCTTAACGTATTTTGTCTTATTATTATACAGTTCAAGCGATCTGGCAGCACTTTATCATATAACTGCCAAACTAAACTTATGTTATCTTTTAACTGTAATTAATAATAGTTTTTGGTCTATCATTTTTTACCTTATTTAAACTATTGAGTCTTCAAATTTGTGTACATTTCCTCGAGGTTAAGTCTTTTTTTTTTTAGTTTTTCCTACTTAAAGCTACGTTTGCGTATGATCTCTGCTACGTTTTGGTCATTGACTGATCTATGGTCGTCAGGGTTTTGAATTTTAAATCATTTTTTGGCTGATAATCGCCCCGATTGAAAAGATCCACACGGCGATGCATCTCTTCTTTGACTTTCTTCTTATTGAGAAGAAACTCCTGCTCCTTAACCTCATCGTACTGTTTGCGATCATTTTTTAGCTGAGCCAATAGCTCGAGATCCATTGTAGAGGCCCAGGGACGGCGGGTGGTAATTTCCTCCTCGTAAAAAGCTGTATTATTAACCTCAAACGGATTTGGCTTGATAAATATGGCCATATAACCGGGCCGATTGATGTCGCGCTCAACAGGAAATACACTTGGAGAACGGAATGAGGATACAAAAGAAATTAATTTTATGTGGGAACTATTCCTGTTGGGAACTCACCAAAAGGTTCGCTTGGAGCTATCCCACTTGGGACCCCACCAGGCGCCCAGCACCCGAAAGGGGCACGAACGATTCCTGCCCGCGTCCGACTCAATCACCTCGCCCACCGAGACGAAGAGCAGGTCCGTTGTGTTCGCCTCGACAAGGTGCGCCTTGCGTAGCATGAAGAGATCATTGAAACCGGAGATGACAACATTATCGTACAGATTGTAGACCAGCTCATTATTGTTATCCTGGCCAATGATGAGCATGGCCAGCCGCATGGTATTTATGATATGCGCCAGTGCTAGGAAGTTGATGTTCATGTCCTTATAGTCGTCGGTTAGATAGCCAAAGAACCAGTGCCTCATGTGCAGCCGGGCCGGCAGCTCCATGCGGTTCATCAATAGCCAAGGACCGCCCCAATCATTCTGGAATTCGCACAGAATCTTAGCGGGCAGACCACGGTCGCGGGCCAGGGTAACGCCAAACACCTCATGCAAGTCCATATCCTCGTGACAGATGGCTTCCGGATATTCGAAAAATTCGGAAGGATGCGGTGTGGCCTTCAACCAATGCGGTGTGGTTGTCTCTGTATTTGTCTCTGCCGTTCTCTCTCTATTTATCTCTGTGTCTGTCATTGTACTTGTTTCTTTGTTTTTCTCTGGGGCTGTCTTTGTACTTGTCTCTGGGGCTGTCTCGGCATTTTTCTCTGCGGCTGTCTCTATATTTGTCTCGGCATTTTTCTCTGTGGCTGTCTCTGTATTTTTCTCTGTGACTGTGTCTATATTTGTCTCTGGGGCCGTCTCTCTATTTTTCTCTGTGGCTATCTCTGGGGCTGTCTCGGCATTTTTCTCTGCGGCTGTCTCTATATTTGTCTCGGCATTTTTCTCTGTGGCTGTCTCTGTATTTTTCTCTGTGACTGTGTCTATATTTGTCTCTGGGGCCGTCTCTCTATTTTTCTCTGTGGCTGTCTCGGCATTTTTTTCTATTGCTGTCTCTGTATTTTTCTCTGTGGTTGTCCCTATGTTTATCTCTATGGTTTGCTCTTTGGTTGTATCTGTGTTTTTCTCTGTAGTTGTTCCTGTGTTTGTCCCTGTATTTGTCCCTGGGTTTGTCTCTGAGTTAATCCCTTTGTTAGTCCCTGTGTTAATCCCTGTGTTTGTCCCAGTGTTTATCCCAGTGTTTATCCCTGTATCTGTCCCAGGGTTTGTCCCAGTGTTTTTCCCTGTGTTTTTCCCAGTGTTTTTCCCAGTGTTTGTCCCTGTGTTAGTCCCTGTGTTTTTCTCTGGGTTTGTCTTTGTGTTATTCTCTGGGTTTGTCTCTGTGTTAATCCCTTTGTTGGTCCCTATGTTTGTCCCTGTGTTTTTCCCAGTGTTTGTCCCAGTGTTTTTCCCTGTGTCTGTCCCAGTGTTTGTCTCTGTATTTTTCCCTGGGTTTGTCGCTGTGTTAATCCCTTTGTTATTCCCTGGTTTAATCCCTGTGTTTGTACCTGTGTTTTCCCCAGTGTTTGTCCCAGTGTTTGTCCCAGTGTTTTTCCCTGTGTTTTTTCCTGGGTTTGTCGCTGTGTTAATCCCTTTGTTAGTCCCTGGTTTAATCCCTGTGTTTGTCCCTGTGTTTTTCCCAGTGTTTGTCCCAGTGTTTTTCCCTGTGTTTGTCCCTGTGTTTTTCCCTGTGTTTTTCTCTGTGTTTGTCTCTGTGTTTGACCCTGTGTTTGTCCCTGTGTTAGTCCTTCTGGTTGTCTCTGTGATTAGCTCTGTCGTCTTCCCAGTGGTACTTGGCTCCCTAGTAGTACTTCCCTTCCTTGTAGTCCTAGGGGTATTTGGCTTCTTGGTGATAGTTGTAGAACTTGTGCCCGTATAGTTGCCTTTCGGCGGAACTGAGGTTTTATTGATCTGCAAATCTGTTGGCTTTGCTTTATATTATTTTCTACAAACTATTTTGTCATATTTTTTTATAATAACCTCCTCCAATTTCATTCGTTTCGTCGGTGTTGGGATGCACGTGGTCTAACCTTTGAATATCGCCATATGGTGGCTCATCTTTTGGATCATCTTGTGGCTCATCTGGTGGGCAGATCTCTTTTGAGCTTACCTCTACAGTATCCTTATCCACTATATTATATGTCTTTTCTTCTTTGCTCTGTTCCTCATTGGATTCGATTCCCGCATTATGCTCGAGCCGACTTCCATAGCGATTGTTATTGAATACAAAATTGATGTAGTACGTCTGACCGAGCACCATCACCACCAGGGGCAACGCTGTCCATAGGCAACAGAGCAGCATTGTCTGAACTACCCAACCACAATGACGCAGTGGACGGCACTGATTGACACGCCTCAACATTGGGTTCTCTTTATAGACTCGGTTCCCGGCTGGAACGGATGTGTTTAGGCTCCACTTGATTGCGATATCGCTTGGAATTCATTGGGTGTGCTGCTGCACAGTCATTAAACTTCATTCGATTTGCATTGGCTCGAAAACAGAGTTTGGTGAGCATGATAAACACGAGCCAAGCCAGAAACCTTTGAAGCAAGAGGTGCTGCAAGAAATTGCAAGGAATATAAAGGAAGGATCCTAACGATCAATAGGTTGTTTTACTGAAGACAACTCATGGAAGGAATTGGAAACGAAGTTAATGTGACCCATTATAAATATATAATAAATCGTTTCTTAAACATTGTGACTATTTGGATATTAGCAAATTGGACATAATATCATATGCATTCCAATAATCAATTAGTAAAGAAATTTGATACGCACATGGAAAATATGAAAAAGTAAATCTAAAATGAATCAATTACGAATAAGCGGGAAGTAACTTTCCATTTGCAAAAGAACTCTTATATGATATAATCTGTCATATTCTCAAGCTGTAAAATAATTGGATACTTACGATCCGGAAAAGTTGAATATTTGTGACCCGATCCCCAATAGATAAAAAGAGAATAGTTCAAGTCTAGAGTTTCAGAAAAAGGAAAAGCACTTGCATAAAAAATCTAAAAAAATTTTTCCTCTTTTTGATTTGAGGCTTGAAAGCCGTCATGTATGAAACAAATGCTAAATAATGTCTCCATGGAAGAAATGAAAAATTAAACCTATTTTTATCAAACGGAAGCGAGCTATACAAAGAATATTTCTATTTGATATTCCTATTTCCATAGTCTTTCAACTAAAAGGAATAAGTTAGGTTTTCTTCCATTCCATGTCAATTCTTTATACACAATTTCCTTCGATCCCTCATGTGAAAAACTAGAATATTTTGTTTGGATTCCTTCTGGCCTGTGCCCAATCCAAACAATTTACGACATGCTCGATCTTCGTGCTTGCCCAAACAACTAATTTATTAGACACAACAAATTCCACAGATTTCCTTTATTTATTGTATAATTTTTATTGCGCAAAATTCATAAATTGAAATGTCTCTGGCCTGCATCCGCAGGATACCGTAAATGCAGGTGCATGAAAGAGATACAAGTAGAAAGCTGATTTAAGAAATGGGCGGTGAAAGGGAGAGGGGAGTACTTACACAACTAAGCTTTAATTCTCGATGGGCTCCTCATAGTCCTGGTCGCCGAATTCCTTTTGCACGTTGCCCGCTTTGCTTGCGGAGCTATCGTTCTCCTGGTTGTCACGGCCGGAATCGGCCCTGGCGCCCTCATGGCCATGGCTCTCGGAGCTCTCGTAAATGGAGCGCACATAGCGACCGCCGAAGCTATCGTCAATGCTGATCTCGTAGCTGCTGTGATGGCTGTGCTCCTTGTTGCCGGCCTTGGCAAGCGCTTGCTCCTCCTTCTGGCGCCGATCAATGGGGTCATGGCTATCGCTGTCGTCGTTATCGTGCACCCTTTGATCCAAAGGCGCACTCTTGTCCTTGTTTCCTTCGTGACGTTCCCGACTGTCACCACCGCCGCCGCCGCTGCCAGCACTCCCGTCACCACCGCCGCCGCCCCCACCGCTGTTTTCGCCTTTGTCGCTGGCATCGTCGTTGCTCTTGTCTGTCCCTGGATTGCTGCGATCCTTGCCGTCGTCGGCGCTGCCGCTTTCGGCGCGAACCCCACTGCCTGCGTTCTCATTGCTTTGAGCCCTGCTGGCAGCTCCTTCTTCGGAGCCTCCTCTATTTGGTTTTACCTTTGGTTCGCCGGATCCTCCGCCGCCCTCGGCATCCGGATTGTTGTTGTTGAATGCGAAATTCATGTAATACTTCTGGCCCAGCACGGCGCTGGCCTGCAGTTGCCAGAGCAACAGGCCTAAGGCGAGAATGCGTATGCTCAGCCGGGTCCTCATGATCCTCAACAGACTCTAAACAGCAGCCGTTCGGGTTTCTCTCTTATATATAGATGAGGGCCGTTCAGTGCAGCGAATCGCATTGCCCGCCCGCAATCGATTACGCTTGGGTCAGCCCAAGTCGACCCCACCATGAAGCCAGCCCCGCATAAAACATGCACTGCGCAAAGAAAATTACGCAGTTTTAAGACAAAAACAAAAGACGGCTCAAATGTCAAATATTTTTACTTTAGCTGGAATTCAGACTACGATAGTTCAATATTGCGATAAGCATCTGGCAAAAACTGAATCATTTTAGAAACAGTTTTGTTATTTTATAGACAAATTGGAAATTTTTTATTTTATTTTTTTAAAATATTTTGTTTGAGTGCATATTATTAAATCCCTCATCTGAAAGAGTATCAGTTTTCGAATGATATGTCTTTTATGGAATAGATATGTTTTAAAGGGAAGTGGAAGTAAAGCCTTCGATCAGTAATCGATAATTGATTTCATACTTTCGATAGTTTTTAACATGCACATAGTGTATATAGTATGTCTATTATAGAATATATATATAAATTTAGAGCAATGTCAATCTTTCGATAACTAATCTATATTTTATGGATTATGTTCGATACCTTATGAAATAGTAATCCCAAAATTATATCAAGTTTTCGATAATTAATCGATTTTATTTTTGTAAGGTTATATCAACCTTTTAATTCGTAATCGATACTTGATGACTTTCGATAGCTTTCGATTACACATAAGAAATCAATATTTTATAGAGTGGACCGTTTTTTCCACATTCATGAACCCTGACTTAAAACTTTTAATTCTAAGTATTTCTTCTTTATCTTAACTATTTTTGTATATTTTATATATTTAGGGTACGAAAAATAACGTTAGCCCAATTTCAGAAACTAAAAAATGTTGCCATCATTATTTAATTACCAATAAAAAAATTGTAGTTCGTTTCGGGCTAAAGATTGACTATAGACTTGATAGACTTACTTACTTTTTATTTGGTAATAATTATGGACTTAAGTAAGACTTCTATAAATTTTGGTATAAAAACACAAGTTTGATTAGGGATCGTTGCGCATGCACGTATTTTGGCCAGTGTGTGGCCGCTGTGGAGGGCAACAGCGGCCGCGCCGCGCATAGCTTTGTTGCACAGTTGCACAGTGGCAGTTCGGTTGGCAGACGGCAGCAGCTGTGTACGGCAAACAGGTTGAAAGCCGCGGCCGCGGCCACGGCCATGGAATTCAATCAGGGCCAATCTATAATAGAAATCTCATGTGGCGGGGGGCAACCAGCCAGCAGCCAGCAAGTAGCAAACAGCAACTGGCAACTTGCAACTGGCAACTGGCAACTGGCTGCGCCAGCCCACTTTCAATCGCTGTTGGCGTCGTGCGTTGCAAATATGAAAATGCTACTGCTACTGCTCCAACTCAACCAGGGGCAGCAGCAACTAAAAATCGTTTTTCATTAACAATTTTAAAAGCTGCGCATTAATCACACACACACACAGAGGCACACGCCCTCCGTTGCAAGCAGCAGCAGCATGTTGCAAGCTGATCATGCCGCATGCATAAATTTTGTTAGCTACAAAACTAATTCTTGCCTCTCTCTCTTTCTCTCTCTGATTCTTCTTGCAGCACTTTCGTGATCAGAGCATAGATGGCACGGGCTTGCCGCTGCTAACCGAGGATCATTTGGTTAGCTCGCTGGGCATGAAGCTGGGGCCGGCGCTGAAGCTGCGCTCCATATTGGCGAAGAAATTGGGCGGGCCGTGTCCGTGTGTTGCGTGCGTTGCGCAGGCGCAACAAATGCTGGCACTGCAAACGGGTGGGGCAGCAACAGCAGCAGCAGCAACAACAGCAACAACAACAACAGCAGCAACAGCAACAACTACAACAACAACAACTGCTGTAACTAGTTGCAGCAGTTTGTCCAACAGTAGCAACAGCAGCAGCAGCAACAGCAACAGCAACATGGCAGATAGCTGCAATGGGCCCAGCAACATGGCCAGCGACAACATTGTTGCTGCAACAATGTTGCCCTGCAGCTTTGATGCTGCCGACAGCAACAATTACAGCAGCAACAATAACAACAACAACAACAAGGATGCTGCCAGCTAGTTATTTGTCACAATCGAAATTAAATCAAAATAAACAAATATCAAATTAACAACAAAATATATATAAATATAGTTTTATATAGTTTATATGCTAACAAATTGCATTTCAACTGCAAATGTTGTACCAAATGAGCTTTCAAATGAAAAGAAAAAACACATAAGAATTAATTTAAATCAAAACTAATATTAACTGCAATTTAATTTAGGCTTAGCTAAAGTTGTGAACTTTAAGACAGCAACAACAATCGCAAAAGTCTTCCATTTGCATATAAAAATAACAAAAACAAAACAAACCAGATTTTAACAAAAACACTTAAAGTTATAAAACAATAATATATGAATAATTAATTAACTAATGAATCAATTTAGTCAATTTAAATGAGTTTTTATTATGAATTACATAACGATTTATGTACTTAAGTGCAATTGCATTGCGCTACATTTATCACATAAATATTTATAATTTATTTAAAATATTTTATATTTATATATATTTTCATTTCTTCGTTTATAACTGCTAGTCAGTAATTATTATTATATTTAAATAACATTCAGACAACTTAAAAATAACAACAACAAAAAAACAAGTTTCATATATAAATTTGATTTCCTTATTTGTTTAGCAAAGAAAAGGCTATTTATTATTATATATGATAAACATTTTATATAATATTTAAAGCTAGTTAAAAATCATTTGTTAAAAGCAACCCAAAAATCTGTTGTTCAAATTGTTTACAATTAATTTTTTTTATATTTTGCGGCCATTGCACATTGGAATTCAAAATTCAGCATTAATTTAAGAGCTCCAAGACTTGAAGACAACAACAAATACACACACACACACCCACACACACAACAGCAAACAACAAATGCAAATGTATATACTGTTTATTTAATTATATTTAGCTCTTACATACTTACTATATATATATATATCTTTATATGTATTTTTAACGCTAGGCATCTGCAACTGACCAAGCAGCGTCGGTCAACTTAAAACTTATGTTTACGTTTAGACAAAAAAAACAATTGATTTATTTTATTAAATATATATTGTATATTTAAACAAATACTTAGCTATTTTTCACAAGCAAATAAATTATAAACAGACAATACAATACAAAACAAATGCAATGCAATACCTGCCAGCGAATGCAGTTAACCGGGCGCTACAGAGCTGAACTGACCTCCAGAGTTGGGCGCCGCGCTCGGGTCAAGCGTAACCGTTGCGCCAAAAGCCAACCAAGGATGCACCGCTGCAAAACCAATTAAAAGCACGCAGCTGGAGCCGTGTAGCCGCACTTCAACGTCTAATTACAAATTGGAGTCATTGAATTTAATCGCTGCAAAATCCGCATATGCACTTCTTATGCACTTGAGACACGCAAACTGATAAGCAGCCCATGGGCCCAAAGCACCTTTCTTCATTCATCGGTCATAACTCGCTGACTGTCTGGCTAACTGGAGCAATGCCTATGTTTCTCCCAGTTGACCTACCTCAACGTAGTATACCAAAAGAGACTACTCACAAACTCAATTAAGCCAAGCTTAATTATATTTGATATATAATATATAACCGCTTCACGCCTAAGAATGTATTACAGTCCAGAACACACTTGCTCCATTGACTGGCGAGAATGGGTGCCTAGAGGAATCATCTATTATGTCTGTAAAGATACAGTCAAACTAAAGAAACTTTTGATGCCCATCGAATGGCAATCCAAAGCTTAAAATGGAGATTATTGCTCCTACTTGGCCATATCCATGCAGATTCCGACACAATTTCGCAAATTTTAGATTCGTTGGAATATACCATATCTCCGCCCGGAGATAGGATGCTTTAAATCGACATAATTCCTCGCGGAGATATTTTGTGAGTCAATTTATTTAAATTTGAGAAAAACAGCAAGGGGTTACATCACCAATTTGGACGAAATTGTGGCCGATTTTTTATATCAATATTATTCCTGTTTTTTGGCATATCTAGGATAAATAGTGTCAGATTTTAAAAATATATGCCATTTTAGACTCGTACGGACCCTACTATCGAATGCTATTCAAAAAAATAAATTCTAAAATTTGATGTTTTAAAAAAAATTGCAAGCAAAGTGGCAAAAAATGGGGTCGGTTTTTCATAACAAAATTATTCATGAAATAGAGATGTGTCTTTGACTTGACGACTAAACCCAATATTGTTATTTTACTAAATTACTTCTCTGTTCGTAATAAGCGTCCCCAGGATATGTATCAATGGATTAAATATTCCACGATAGGGGGGATATATGTTATGTTGTACAAAAACTTTCGTTGTTTTTATTTAAACGTAATACTTTTGATAGAATTTATGAACTTCTATACAATGATTGTGCAATTAGTGTGTGTAATTTAATCTTATGTATACCTAGTTAAGTCGCACTTTCAGCTTATCACATTATTCTATGTGGAAATGGGTGTGGCATCATTTTCGCCAAGTGGCGTTTTTCCTTTGCTATTCTGCTGCTTAACCAGTTTAGCTTCTGGTAGTTCCTTGACGCCAGTTGAGCCGAAGCCCGCATCACCGCGCTCGGTATCATCCAACTTGTCCACCTCCTTTGGCTCCGGATAGAAGATAAGCTCGCAAATAAACTGAGCAATGCGATCTCCGCGATTGACCTCAAAGTCTGTGTCCGAATGATTAAACAACACAACGCCCAGGTTACCGCGGTAATCCTCGTCCACAACTCCAGCGCCCACGTCGATGAAGCTCTTCACGGCCAGACCGGAACGAGGTGCCACTCTGCCATAGGACCCCTCTGGTACCTGTACCTGGAGATCAGTCTTGACAATAGCCTTGCCACGAGCCGGAACTATTTGGTCGTAGGCGCTGCGTAAGTCAAGACCAGCGGCTTTTTCGGATCCGCGCTGTGGCTCCAGCGCGTGCTCCGTGAGTTTGGCAAAACGCAAAACGCATTTATTATCGGTTGGTGTTTTGGCACTTACAATCTGCTGCTTGGCTCCTGGTAATTCCTCGACTCCAGTTGAACCAAAACCCGCCTCGCCACGCTCGGTGTCATCCAATTTGTCCACCTGCTCCAGCTCTGGATAGAAGATGCGCTCGCAAATAAACTGAGCTATGCGATCCCCTGGCTTAACTTCAAAGTCGGTGTCCGAATGATTAAACAAGACAACACCCAGGTTGCCGCGGTAATCCTCGTCAACAACTCCGGCACCCACATCAATGAAGTTCTTTACGGCCAGACCGGAGCGGGGTGCTACTCTGCCATAAGAGCCCTCTGGCAGCTGCACCTGAAGATCTGTCTTGACAATAGCCTTGCCACGTGCCGGCACCTTCAACTCGTAGGCGCTGCGCAGGTCAAGGCCGGCGGCTCTTTCGGATCCACGCTGTGGGTCCAGCGCGTGTTCCGTGAGTTTGGCAAATCGCAAAACGCATTTATTATCGGTTGGTGTTTTGGCACTTACAATCTGCTGCTTGGCTCCTGGTAATTCCTTGACTCCAGTTGAACCAAAACCCGCCTCGCCACGCTCGGTATCATCCAATTTGTCCACCTGCTCTAGCTCCGGAATGGATATGCGCTCGCAAATGAACTGAGCAATGCGATCTCCGCGCTTGACCTCAAAGTCTGTTTCCGAATGATTAAACAAGACAACACCCAGGTTACCGCGGTAGTCCTCGTCAACAACTCCGGCGCCCACGTCAATGAAGTTCTTCACAGCCAGGCCGGAACGAGGTGCCACTCTGCCATAGGATCCCTCTGGCACCTGTACCTGGAGATCAGTCTTGACAATAGCCTTGCCACGTGCCGGGACTAGCAAGTCGTAGGCGCTGCGCAAGTCAAAGCCGGCGGCTTTTTCGGATCCACGCTGTGGCTCCAGCGCATGCTCAATGATCTTGGCATAACGCAAAACACATTTCTTATCCAATTTCATTTTCTTAGCTGCTTGAATATCGTCAACAATGGGCGAGGCCATCTGCAATGTGTATATGCGGATTAATCACTGAAATAAATGTGAGAAACACCCAAAATGGCTTTCACGTAAGTTGAGCCCTGAATCGACGCTAGAATATTGGCGGAATTTTGCAGTCAAACCAGCTGGCAGCTGCTAAACATATAATAATCGATATACCAATATCAAATCCAAATGCAGTGTTAGAAATTGGTACAAAACCAGGGCCGCACTAATTCGTTGAGTTTAAAATTTTGCGTTATTATGCAGTTTGCGCTATGGAACAAACGCAAACAGATTCAAAACTAGTTGAAAAGTATTTTTGGTTTTCCGCTTCTAACTGCTTATACTAAAATATAAAATATAAATAATCTTGAAATTATATGAATTTTCTACGCTCTTTCAGAGTTGCGGTGACAGGATATCGGTGGACCACCACAATATGCTGCCAGCTGTCAGAAAGAGCATCTCCAAGGCTAAATGACCGGGCCAACGGGATACAAATATTGATTTGCAATAATTGCAATTTTTAGAATAGACCATTAGCAAATAGCCTTAGTCATGGATTTCACCGACTTTGAGGTACGCAAGGTAAGCAAGTGTTGTCTCAGTCTTGACTACTTGCTAACCAGCATAAAACATGCATTGTAGTGCCCATCAACAGTCATGTACATTCCGAACTTCATCACCTCAGATCAAGAGCAATCCATATTAAGTCACATTGAACGCACACCAAAGCCACGCTGGACGCAGTTGCTCAATCGCCGCCTGGTCAACTACGGCGGTGTGCCGCATCCCAACGGCATGATAGCCGAAGAAATACCCGAATGGCTGCAGAGTTATGTGGATAAGGTCAACAATCTGGGCATCTTTGAGTCGCAAAAGGCCAATCATGTGCTGGTCAATGAGTATCTGCCGGGCCAGGGCATTTTGCCGCACACGGACGGACCGCTCTTCTATCCAATTATATCGACCATTTCGTGTGGTGCCCACACCGTGCTGGAATTTACTAAGCGCGAAACCACCGGCGAGGCAACTGGCGAGGTGCTATTCAAGCTTCTCTTGGAGCCACGCAGCTTGCTCATATTGAAGGACACACTATATAGCGACTATATGCATGCCATTAGCGAGATCAACGAGGATACGCTGTGCGATCGCATCTGTAATTACAATCTGTGCGAAAATACATACAAAATTGGGGATCATCTGGTGCGACGCGCACCACGCATTTCGCTAACCATACGCAATGTGCCCAAGACCAGCAAAATGAAACTGAAGTTCTGTTAGACTCTTACAATTGTTGCTAAATTTGTTAACTAAATGCACACGTTGCGAATGTCACGTAGCCCACTGAAGTCAGCCCACAAGCTAATATGTATGTTCAACTTTAAATCTTCCGCTAGATAATTAAGCACAACGCACACACACACACACACCTTTGAGCAATGTTTCATAATGCAAATTTCGTAGTTTTTGAGCAAAGTTTTAGCATTGCCCACCAAGTGCTTTAATTTTGGTAACCAAAAAAGATGTTTACTCAATTATACCAATTATGTACATATATATAGATAAGTATATGTATAATAATTTATAGATTTAGTTATTGAAAGCAATATGCATACATATTCAAACATTCGTTAAGTGGCATATGTATGTGTGTGTTTTCCACAAGTCCTGTAATATTTTTGTAATGATTTTCACAGCGCACCAAAAGACAAAAAAGAAAAGTAATTCCAAGCCAAATTTGAAATGAAATAAATTGTTGTCCACTGTTGTGCTTGTTAAATCACCAATTGTATCCACGCTAACCCTCAATCTCTTTCTCCTAGGCTTCATCCTGCCACTCCAGTCGAAATTCGCGCTCAAACACCAGACGATCGTAGAGGCGCACCTCGCTGATGCGCGCCGAGATGTCCAGCCGGAGCTCACTCACAGCCAGATGAAAGTTCTGGCGCACAGCACGCTGTTTGTCCGGCGTCAGCTGGTTGAGCGGCTTTCGGAAGACGCTAATTATGCGCTGCAAATGATATTCAACGCTGGCGCAGCGACCAATGCAGACCCACAGATTCTCCGGATCGTGTATGTTGCCGGGAAAGCGTGTTCGCTGATCGAATGGCGCCTTGCTCGACAGCAAGGCACGCACCTCTGCGACGATCTCCTGGTGCGTCTTCAGATCTCTCGTGCTGAGCGTCTTGAACTCGTATTTGTCACAGAAGTACATAAGATCGCTGATCGCACACCACGGCTGGCCACTCAACGTTGTGTGATTGCTGCTCCAATTGCTGTAGCCGGCGGCCGTTTTGCTCGCCTGCTGCTGCACCAGGGCGGCGGCCACCGACGAGGCGGTGCTGCTCTTGGCGGCGCTGCTACTGCTGCTCCCAGTGGTGGCGTTGCTGCTGTTGCAGCTGACTGTGCTGGGTCTGGTTAGGTCCAAGCTGGCACTGCCATTGCTGTTGCCTTTGTCCGCACGCTGCAACTTCTCCATTTCGCGTTCGTGTTCGCGTGCCCGCATATACGCCTCCTTCTTCTGTTGCAGCTCCTGCAGCTTGGTCAGCTTAGGCGGAGAGTTGGCCTTAAAGAGCGACGGTGGCGGGGAACGGGCTAGGGCTGTTGTCTGTGCTGCATCACGGTGTGGCTCCATCTGTTGGCTGTGTCCATTTGTGTCCAGCGAGGCACTGCGTCCATATTTGGCGCGATAGCGTTCCAGCGTGTCCAGCGAGAAGCTGAGCTCCTTTTTGAGCGTTTTCTGCATATTTCACTTTATTATTTCGTTGGATTTATGTAATCGCCTTGAAACGTTCAATGCACGCGCCGCGCGTTCGTCTCAAGAATTTACAAGCAAATGCAATCGAGATTCGAGATGCGAGCAAAATAAAACAAATTCTTGCGTGGCATACTCTTTATTTTTATCTTTTATCAATTGGCGGCACCGACGCCGCCGTGTTGAGTACTTGGGCCATGTGCCTCAGCGCTCGCTGTGCACTTTATTTTGGTCTCTGCCGATCATTCAATTGGCTGCACTAGGGTCTCAGGAGAGGAGTAGGGCAACGCACACAAGTAAGGCACATACAATATATATATGTACATATATATAGATATATATACACTGCCAAGAGGATCTCAGTTTATTAAACAGACATGGATGCACAAAATTTGTATTGAAAACTATAAAGCACGACTATAAGCACGGCACGAGTCAGGAATCGGTTGAGAAGATTCCTATTGGCGCTCATTAGTGCGACGCAAGCGAATACGCAGCCGCTTCAGCAGACGCTTATAGTGTTTATTAACCTGTCCCAGATGACGGCAATTCTTGCATGTTGGACGACGATTCCTGCGCCGCAGCGTGGATAATGCAGCCTCGGCCCGAGCGTGCAAATATCTATGACCGTGTCCATGTCCATGTCTAGGGCCACGCTGATGATAGCGCAGCATGGCCGATCGTTCCCCTCCATTCGGACTACTATTACCAATTAGGGCACGCTCTGCCCCGGATTGTGGCAGGGCCGAAACCATCTGCTCCCAGTCTTCAAGAGCATTTGTTTGTCGTGGCTCATTGGGATTTAAATTCATGTTTCTCGAATCCAAGATTTGTCGGTGTATAGCAAACAAACAAAAAAAATAAAATAAAATTGTGTTACTAGGAGTTCTAGAAAAAATATGTACTTTGTTGTTGGGTTCTTAACTGTTTTGAGTGTTCTACTGATTTTTTAAGCCAATGCCGAAACTCTCGGAATCAAAGCTTGACATTTCGTAGCCTACTCTAAGCTAAACTAAGGACCCATCTACTTATAATTGGTTTGTACATTATATAGTCTGTTTCGATTCAAAACACAATATATAGATGATTCAATCCGAGCTTTTTCACTATTGGGGGTTCGATCG